GGGGGGGGGGGGGCAGAGATATCCAGATAACACGAGAACAAATGATAAATAATGTGAAAGTTGACATTAGAAGGGGATAGGGCATGTATTTTATAAATCATTAATGGTTCCAGTCGTTAACGAGCCGTTAACGATTATTTTATGTGAATATAGCTGGACAACTGTTAAGACAACATTCAAAAACATCTAAATACATGAAAAAAAATGTCTGCAAGTTTCATTAAATTTTTAGTCGCCGATATTTTAAAACACATCCGTTTCTTTTTTTCAACTTTTACATTTTTTTTCACAAACGGCTATTTCCGTTAGTTAACGATTTAAAAATTTACGGATTTTGCCGTCCGTAAAGAGACTCTTCCGTTAAATTTCAAAAACCTCCGTTTCGTTGACTGAAATTTGCACAACCCAAAGACCGACACTACGTTATGCATTACACAAGGATCATATTCGAAGAGTTTATGTTTCCTGAATATCCATGTATTTGTATTACACAAGGCTCATATTCGAAGAGTTTATGTTTTCTGAATATCCATGTATTTGTATTACATAATGTTCCATTAAACGTATTGAAAAGGATCAAACAATTTTTTACACCGTGTGTGCAGCCTGTCATGCAAACTATGCAAAGGAAAAGAAAAAGTGTCATTGTATTCTGACATTGACGTGTTTAAACAGGTATTTAGTTCAGTAAACCATTCCACAGACATTTAAATTTCAGTCAAATTAAATAAATGTCGTCTTCTGAATTAAATTTTGTTGAATTCAAATAGAAAATATGTCTGTTCCATTTTTTTCAGGATCAATTCCATGGAATAATTGCATGCATAAACTTTTTTCAGCATGTTACATTACACCTAGCTTTGTGTAATATGTAGCATCTAGGGGATAGATATATTTACTATTCAGTATGTTACATTACACAGCTTTGTGTAATATTTAGCATCTAGGGGATAGATATATTTACTATTCAGCATGTTACATTACACCTAGCTTTGTGTAATATGTAGCATCTATAGGGGAGAGATATATTTACTATTCAGCATGTCACATTACACCTAGCTTTGTGTAATATGTAGCATCTATAAGGGATAGATATATTTACTATTCAGTTAAAAGATGGGTTCCGCCTTAAATTTCCAAAAGTGTTAACCCTACCCTGATTGGGCTATTTTTTCTCAAATTTAGACCTCTGCTTTCAATGGTTAGGGTGCTAGGGAGGATTTTAATAAAGTAAAAAAAGTACGTTGAAAAATTGTTATTTTTACTTTTGACAAATATCAACATGTGACACATTTTATAACATCATTTTTCAAGCTTGAGCGTTCTTGTACAAGCCTTTTTAATGTTAAAAAAGACTACAGGGGGAACGGAGAACCCCCCCCCCCCCCTACCCATTTGTCAATTATTATTCTTATCAGCTCCAGGAAATGTTCCGTAAGGCTTTTACAGAACCAAATTGAATCAAATTGAACCAAATTGAGCCAAATTGAACCATTTTGAACCAAATTGAACCAAATTGAACCAAATTGAACGAAATTGAACCAAATTGAACGAAATTGAACCAAATTTAAACAAATTGATCCAAAAAAAATTGGAAACCCCCGTCCTATCACGTTGGACATAACATAAAATTTTTTTACGATTTATTATTTTAATAACTTTTTTATAAGGATTTCCCTAATTCTGTTGGATTTCCCTAACTCTGTTGGATTTCCCTAATTCTGTTGGATTTCCCTAATTCTGTTGGATTTCCTTAATTCTGTTGGATTTCCCTAATTCTGTTGGATTTCCCTAATTCTGTGGATTTCCTTAATTCTGTTGGATTTCCCTAATTCTGTTGGATTTCCCTAATTTTGTTGGATTCTGCCAATTTTTAAAAAGGACAAAACAAGTGCTTTTTTCTTCTTCTGTAACTTCTTTACCGGGTGTCTAAATATCAAAAGTGTTTTTATATTCCAATAGGTTTTTAATATTTTCTCCTGAAAAATCTATTTTTGTATGTTTTTGTTATTTTTCATAAATAAATAATTACTTACTTAAACTGGTTAAAAAATAACCAAAAGAGCGCTTATCAAAATTGTTAGAATTAATTTATCCATGTTTTGCCAGAACATCCCTGGAAAATTAATTCTGAAAATATAAAATTTATTATAAAAACTTCTTTACTTATTCCAATGCTGATAATGTCAAAATAGAGAAGATTTAATTAATTGTGGATTTAATTATTTTTCTCTCAATTTTAAGCTCTGAAAATAATTTTTGTAGCTGTATTCGAGAAAGGCCGAGAAGTCAAATGAAATTTTAAAGGAGCTAAATAATATTTGAAAAAAAACATTGTAAGAGGTGTTTCATTAATTTATTCATTTTGTCGAACCCCTCCTTACGCTCATATTCCCCCCCCCCCCCCCCCCCCTCCCCAAACATATACTCCCTCTTTAAACCTTGAATAACTACCTTGACCTGAAAATCAAGTCCAAGCTGAGGCAGTTTGAAAAATTTATAATTTTATTTCATCAATTTAACAGAATCATAATAAAATTAGTTATTTATCCGATCTTTTGTTTTAATTTTAAATCTAAAAATAAACGTTGATGAAAAGTATAGTTCCCCTCCCCCAAGTATGGTAATTTTTAGGTGAGCGTTGACTCATTTTCCCATTGTTTCGATTCAACAGAAAATAAACTAAATTATTTTCTTAGTATACATTTAAACATCAACGTGTACATCTATATAATAATACTAGGTTTTTAGGGCGCTCGCGCCCAACTTCTATTTTAACTAGCTTTTAATTGTGACTTTATCTGTGAGCATCTTCTCTTCGTATAGTATAAAAACAAAGTTTGCGGATTTCATAATATTTTTTGGACGCGATCGGTTCAGCCATTTTTAAGTTTATTGGATACGAACATCCTAACAGACAAGGAAACTATATAGATATGTTAGCAAGCTAAACGACTGGACCAAATTGACCGACATTTTTTATGGGAACCCATGGATACCCTGGGTTTTTTAAAAATCTTTTTTTTTTGGTAATTTTTTTTTTTCAAAATGGGATTGTTTACATTCTCAGGACAACTTTTAAAAAAAACTACAAAGGAGATTTTGCCATGAACTCTCTTCGCAACGTCATGATGTAAAGCATTGATATTTCAAACTTAGATGACTTGAGCTATAACAGAATTCATAGTTTAAATATCAAATGTCTACGACAAAAGGTTGCAAAATTATAGTTATTAGAATAGGTCAAAGAGTTTGTGGCAACGAATTAGTTTGTTTGGGAATTAGAAGAAATTAGAAGAAAGAAAGAAGACAGCAATCATTCCAATGTTTATTGTTTATATTATGGATTAGATATAAAGTTTAGATCTAATATCGGTTAATAACTATTTATGATATATCTTAGATCTTTTAAACACACATATATAACTAGGACCACATATGTTTTCAGGAGGCTACATCTCAATTCAATATAAAGTTTAAAAACGGTGAAAAAAGTAAATAAAACTTTATCAATATATTTTATATTTTGAAAAAAAGAAAAAATGGATAAATTTATTCCTTGTTTGAGTTCAGATCCTGAAGACTCTATAGTATCAGTTCCTTTTAAACCAGGTTATAAGTTTTTTAAGTCAATTGACAAAACAAGATTTTAAGAAGCTGTATGTCGGTGTCATTAACCATTCTTTATAATGGAAATTCAGAGAAAGCAATTTTAATTAATTAGTATAAAATTCAAGTTATAGATTAAAATCTTTATTGTTCATGGTTCCTCTTCTTATAGAGCTATTTATTTTTTGTTTGAATTTTTATCATGTATGCCTTATATACTTAATTAATTCCTTTGCTCGCACATGAGCCCGATCGATTCATCATCTAAACCGGTACACAGATTTACATGTCTAGTGTTTACTCGTACCAGCGTGTCCATGGTGTAGCCAGGATCTTGTTGACCCAGCGCGTCTGGTGTAGCCAGAAAGTGGTTGACCCAGCGCGTTTGGTGTAGCCAGTATGTGGTTGACCCAGCGCGTCTGGCGTAGCCAGTATGTTTTGACCTAGCCTGTCTGGTGTAGCCATTGTGTGGTTGACCTAGCCCATCTGGTGTAGCCAGTATGGGGTTGACCTAGCCCGTCTGGTGTAGCCAGTATGTGGTGACCCAGAGCATTTTATGCAACAAAATTATGCTGCAGCTTAACCTTTGTGAGCTTCTACTTGGACTTAAATTACATCTTAAATTAGTTTTCATCTGTGATATTTAGGTGTTCTCTGTGTTTTGAGATTCATGCAAATTCTGTTTTCTGTAATAATTATTGGCACAGTGGGATTCTACTTTTCATATTATCAGGGATCTTACAGGTCATATTTTCATATTATCAGGGATCTTACAGGTCATATTTTCATATTATCAGGGATCTTACAGGTCATATTTTCATAGTATCAGGGATCCTACAGCTGTCATATTTTCATATTATCAAGGATCTTACAGGTCATATTTTCATATTATCAGGGATCTTACAGGTCATATTTTCATAGTATCAGGGATCTTACAGGTCATATTTTTATAGTATCAGGGATCCTACAGATCATATTTTTCATAATATCAGGGATCTTACTCTCTCAACCATAAACTATCAAAGTCAACCCAGACATGATCTCTAAACTATCAATGTCAATACCGACACGATTTATCTATGTCTTCTTTCTTTCAAGAAGTGATTTCGTGGCGTTTCTCGTTTGCTAAGCGAGGATCAATTACTTCTCTCACCGTAATAAAAGGGGAGTCTATTCCAACTAAATGTATTTTGAACACAATTTCGTGCAATACTTGTTTCGTATTGATACGAAATTGATGCAAAATTTTGTGCAAAAAAAGTAATTTCATGCAAAAACACGAAATTTTTGCACAAGAGAATCTACTGTTTCATGGAAACCCTAAATTTGCACATTACAATCTTTGCATGGAGGGTCTCTAGAAATTACGCTTACAGTCCCTTTAAAATATATTTTAGTATTTATTAGTGAACCAAATATTCACCATTGATAACAATAATCTCGTAAAACTCCTGATCTGATAAAGTCGCAGGGGTGGGTACAGGATTTAAGTGAGGGTGGGGGCGGGGTGGCTAGATTTATTTTGGAACAAAAAAATGGATAGTGGATACACATAAACTTGGAAACAAAGAGAACCTGCCAATTAACAGCTCCTCTTTCTTTACTCGAAACTTATAATTTTAAAAAAGCTGGCTAGAAATAAAAAGATAAATAGAAAAGTCGTCTCCATTGTATTGATATAAACGCCGTAAACTGCATGTAAACATCCCAAGTAACAATTTTGAGGAAAATCCGCGGAAAATCCGCGGAAATTTCCAGGAATCTTTCACAAGAAATTCCGGTGAAAATGTCGACAGCTATTCCGAGGAATTTCTCGTAACCCATTCCGAGGAATTGGTCCGAGGAATTTCTTGCAACCCATTCCGAGGAAATTCTCATAACTCTATCCAAGGAATTTCTTGTAACCAATTCCAGGGAATTTCTTGTCACCAATTCTGCAGAAAAACCAGAGAAAATGTCGACAAAATTCTTGAAAATTCTTAGGAATTTCCAGAGAAAAATTCTTCAGAACCAATTCCTGGGAACTATTCCCAAGATTTTCTCAAGAGTTCCTCAGGAATAGCTTGAAATATTGCCCCTCCAACTTTTTAGAAGTATAACCATCTTCTTAAGTCTGAATGTTATAGCCGTTTTTGATCTTACTGAAGTTGTCATGTATTTTGTTTATTCAGACAACTGAATTGTCAAGAAGAAATAAATAAATGAGAAAAAAAATTTTCAAAATATCTTTTAAAAAGATGGTTCTAAAGTAAATTATCATTTTTTATCAAAAAGGATGCAAAGAAAGAAAGATTTAGTTAGGGCAGTGCATAATAGAAGAGAACCTCAGAGACTCCTATTGGAGAAAAACGGAACTTGAAAATTAAGTGAAGAAATCCTGAGAATTTCTCAGGAATTTCCGGAGAAATATTCCAGAGAAATTCTCAGGAATTTCTCAAAACTTATTCTCTTATTTTATTCCCCTAAATTCCGTAAACTTGGTGACCAATTCCTAAGAATTTCTCAGGAATTTCCGGAGAAACATTCAGGAGAATTTCTCAGGAATTTCTTGGGGTGAAATTCCGGAGAAATTCCCAGAAATTTCTCGAAACTAATTCTCTTAATAAATTCCCCTAAAAATCCGTAAACATTGTGACCAAGTCCTAAGAATTTCTCAGGAATTTCCGGAGAAGTATTCCTGAGAAATTCTGAGGAATTTTTCCCCACAAAATTCCTCGGAATTTCTCCGGAATTTCTTGAAACTGAGTCTCAAAACTGTGATCCCACAAAAATCTCTCATCATGGGGACCAATTCAGGGGAATTTCTCGAGAATTTCTCGAGGAATCACTTACAGGAAATGATTCTCGAGAAATTCCTCGGAAATTCTTCAAAGAAAGTCACCACGGTTGGAGAATCTGGGGAAATTCCTCACTTTTGTTACTTGGGATGACTTTGATCAGATTTTAATTTGTTTTATTTAGCAAAAATTACTGCAATCCTCAAGATCACAAAGAGGAGCATCAAATACTCAAAAGCCTTGCATTCGCGCAAATTTCTAATGTCATTAAATTGTTGTCATGGAACAAAAGCTATCTTTAAGTCTCGGCTTTAATCTATTGTTTAAGGGAAAGTCGTTTATTTCTTAAAATAAATTGCGATTTGAATTAAAGTTGACCGTTACAGTCAACAGTCAACAGTCAACAGTCAACAGTCAACAGTCAACAGTCAACAGACAACAGACAACAGACAACAGACAACAGACAACAGACAACAGACAACAGACAACAGACAACAGACAACAGACAACAGACAACAGACAACAGACAATAGTCAACAGTCAACAGTCAACAGTCAACAGACAACAGACAACAGAAAACAGACAACAAACATCAGACAACAGACAGCAGACAACAGACAACAGACAACAGACAATAGTTTATAGAAAACAAAAAAGTGAAATTTTCAGAAAAAACATGGTCAACAACTTTCAAGTAATGTTGCTGAGCTCTTTGTCATTTCTAATATTGTTTCTAATTCTAGAAGCTTTTTATTTACTTCATTCAAATATGCAATCTTTAAAATGTTTTTTAAAAGCACGAATCACTCAAGGAATTTTTTTAGGTAAAAATCACTTCGAGGTCCTGGTTATATATCAGGAGTTTTAATGATTTATGAAATAAATAGATTTGGAATAATTTCAATTTTTTTTTTAATTGGTCTGTTTCTACATTGTGCATTTCACGATACCCTTTCTACACACTGCCTTAAATATGGTTTATAAATTTAAGCCATAAATTTATTTTCAAATGAACATACTGAAAATTTGTTAAATAACACTTTTCAAAGTCGTTCAAAGTGAATCTAAATTTTAATAGAGTGATTTTCCAAGAAATATTTCTCATTTTTTTCTTTATTTCTTCAGAACTACTTAACTATCTATACAAAATGATTTATTCTGTTTAAATGATTAAATCAATAACACAAATTTTTTTCATAGATTCTTATTTGAAATAATCAATTGATAATTTTTTATTTTCTTTTATTTTTGTATTTTATCATTAGTGAATATTTAGGTGATCAATTGATCAATGGTCTATATTTACGTGATCAATTGATCAATGGTGTCTATTTAGATGATCAATTGATATTTAGGTGATCAATTTATCAATAGTTTATGTTTAGTTAATCAATTGATCAATGGTTTATATTTAGGTGATCAATTGGTCAATGGTTAATATTTAGGTTATCAATAGATAAATGGTTCATAGATTGGTGATTAATTGATCAATGATTTATAGTTAGGTTATCAATTGATCAATGGTTTAAATTTAGGTGATCAATTGATCAAAAGTTATATTTATATGATCAATTAATCAATGGTTAATATTTAGGTGAATAATTGATCAATGGTTTATATTTAGGTAATCAATTGATCAAAAGTTATATTTCGGAGAACAATTGGTCAATGGTTTGTATTTATGTGATCAATTTATCAAATTTAAGAATAATTGATCAAAATTTAAATATTAAGGTGATCAATTGATCAAAAGTTTATATTTACGTGATCAATTGATCAAAAGTTGATATTTTAGTGATCAATTAATCAAGTTGAGGTATCAATTGATCAATAGATAAATATGTAGATGATCAATTGATTAATTGGCTTGTTTTTAGGTACACACTTTTCCACAGTGAATGTTTTATGCTAGTTGCTGCAGTTGTTGCATTTCTAAACACAATTGTAAATGTAAGTAAACCTTTTTATCAAAATATAAGAACTCCTCATTCATATTTAGATACAGATACAGATACAGATACAGATACAGATACAGATACAGATACAGATACAGATACAGATACAGATACAGATACAGATACAGATACAGATACAAATATAGATACAGATATGGATACAGATTCAGATACTACAGATGCAAATACAGATACTGATGATGCTGTTTTTATTCACCAAATTATTATTCATTTCGAATAAATCTAAAATTTTTATTTCTAAAATTTGTTAGTTCATCGTCACAAAATACTAGCAATCCACCACCAATGTATATCAAATAAAGTGTAAACAATAACTATGTAACTTTCCTTATCTATTTCGTTCCTTTTTCTTTTATTTCTGTTTTTATATTTTTTTTAGAATTGGGGGGAAATATTCCTACAACCTCTGCTTTTAGAGGTTTTTAAATATTTTCTCCTGAAACACTCAATTTTGTATGTTTTTGTTATATTTCATAAATAATTATTTTTTTACATTTTACTTTACTTTTGTAATTGCGTTATAAATTAGCAACGTAAAAATTACAAAAAGACGTCAAAAGTTAAAAAGATAAAGAAAATTAGTGTTGCCAGTAAGACAGAGCAATTGTGCATTGTAAACAACCCCATTTTACTTAATACGTGATTGAATAAGTTACTATTAAAACCCATATGCCTTGAAACATCATCAAATACTTAATGTCGTATTCCTTTTCCACAGTTTTCTTGTTCTTACTGTAAGAACTTTGAAGATTGCAATTTTATTGATTGATGCAGAAACATTTTTTAACAATATCAATTATATATAATGTTCAAATTACAGAAATATCATTAAATTTTAAGTGAACCTTTGTACAAAACTACCATTTAAAACAAATTTATAAATGTTAAAATTAAAAAGTGATTCATTTTTTCAGAGAATAAGAAGTTTAACCTTTTTTTAAATGGAAGCAAAAAATGCTGAGATTTTAATTGTCACATTTGTAAGGGTTGCTTAATTCTAAACCCTTTAATGATAAACCTGTTTTTTTAGATTTTAAGTTCTGTGACCGCGCAAATGTTTGCCAGTTCTACAGTTAGTCGTCTTCACAGTCATATCGGTAAACTTCTTGTAAATCAATCAATCAAGAATTTAGAATACGTTTATTTAAATTATATTTTTAGTATCATCCTCTGTATCATGTGTTCTCCAACTGTTATCCGGGATAGTTTTTCTAATACAGGTTAATGTAATTTTTTCTTTATTGTGGATCAATTTTATCATTTTATTAGTAAGAAATTAAGATCAAGGTTCTTAAAAAATAAGATTAAAATAGCTATTTAACAAAAGAGAATAGAATATATATTAGAGTGGAATTTACACAATCCCTCGGTATGAATTTTGTCAGTCCCTTTCAGCCTGAAATGGAGTTCAATCATGTAAATGTTCACAAATTATATGCAGTATAGTACATTAATACAGTATGTTCCCTAGACTATCCATTTCAATTTCGAATTTTTTAAAGCTGTTAAATAAACTTTATAAAATGAATTATGTGAATAAAAAAACATCATTTGATTTATAGCTATAACGGAAAACCATCGTTTGTAAAGTGAAAGGCATATAGCCTATGTGAAATGATCATTGGTCAATTATGAAACCAGCCTATTTCATAATTTGGTTTTCTTTTAATATTAATTTGAGATTTTCGATAAAATGATGTTCCAGGGCCCAAAAGGTTATAAAGCACAAATATGTAAAGTACACCTGCAGTATGGAAACACTTTTTTTTTAGTAAATTCCACTCTAATATATATTCTATCCTCTTTGTTGCTCTCTTTACCAAAATTTTGTCCATAATTTTTTTACACTGTTTGTCAACCTTTTGTTGCATCCACACAATTTCACCCAGCAAGCACAAAGGAAAGCACAGAAAAGGCAGAAGACATTATTCTTGTATATCTAGAGATGAGCACGTTTGACTTTTTCATTTCGCTTGTTCATCATTTGTGAACGACCCATTTTGTTCATTAAACAAATTTTATTTTCATTTAGTGAAATTGTTCATTTAGTGAAATTGTTCATTTAGTGAAATTGTTCATTTAGTGAAATTGTTCATTTAGTGAAATTGTTCATTCAGTAAAATTGTTCATTCAGTAAAATTGTTCATTTAGTAAAATTGTTCATTTAGTAAAATTGTATATTTAGTGAAATTGTTCATTCAGAATCGTTCTTTTGGTGAAAAACTTCAATCAATTAAGAAAATATTTAACTGATAAAATAATATGGTAGGTGTCTGTAGCTGGAAGGTACCTGGTCGATCAGTATGAAGCTAAGCTGTTCTGTGGTTCCTTGGCTCTCATTAACTTCCTTATATATGGCGGGGAGGTCGTCATTGTTGTTAAAGATATTCAAGCAGAAATGGGAAATTAAACAAATAAAACCAAATATGTACAAATAGAAAAGTATGACTTTACTTCAGAGAGAGAAAAAAGTGAAAAACTGCATAAAAATTATTAGAATTATAAACAGAAATTCGTTTGTAAAATTAAAACAACATTTTATACATTGCTTATTCACAATGAACAAGATCTTGAGGACAATGACCTAGAGAAACTGCTAATGAATAAATTCTCATCTTATTTTTTGAAAAGTTATAACTTGTGCGCCGCACAATTATTGGTATTTGAATCCCTGTCAAATCATAACAATTCTTTAAAAAAAATATATAAGAAATTATGCATTTTGAGCTCTATAAGCCAAAGGAGGGGGTATATCGTTTTGATCAGTGACCTCAGATAAAAATTTCTGCTTATTCCATGTAGATGACCAACACTAGGATAGATGCAAAATTTAGGAATACAATCTAATATTTTAGGGCTAAAAGAGGCAAACTGACTTTTTTCCGTAACAAAAGACCTGAATTAAAAAAAATTTCAGTAAAAAATTAAACTTAAACTTACTCAGAGTATCCTGTGGTACGACGGTATGGATAAGCTTATCTTAAATGTTTCTTATAAAGCTACTCTGAAATAATTTCTTTTTAATTGGTTTTTAAATCTCTTGGTAAATAATATTACAGTCAAGGAGAATACATTGCTAATTTTGCTGAATCAATAGATATTTTTTGGTTCAATGAATGCATTCTTCAAAATGGTTTGATTATTTGAGTGCTGACTATCTACTTGTGTATCCACAATAAATAGTATAACAGTAAATTAATATAAATAACTTGTTGGTACATACATGTCTATTAAACTTACTTTTAACTTTGAGAAAATTAATGCAAATATATTTTCAAATTCTCTAAATGCACAAAACGACCCCCCCCCCTAGAAACTTAATATATATTGAACTTACATATATATTTCTGTCTTACTAATTGACAATTTTACCATTTTATGATAATTTCATAAATTCTTAATTAGACCTTATAAATCTTATTTACAATTTTTCTCGAGGATTTCTTTAAAATCCATATCTGATTTTAAGATTTTGACCCAGTGCAGAGTTTCTGATAGAATTTTTTTTTTGACTTTCAACCCAATTCCGCTTGAGCTTATTTTGTCGTTTATGGATGGGGGGGGGGGGGGTCAAATTCATGCATACGGGTTCAATATATACTATAGCCAGTAAATATAGCCGGGCCGGGCTAACTGGACTGCCCCAAACCCCCCTTCTGCTGAACCGCAAAGGACGCCGGAAATATCATCAGTGATTTTTGATTCGTCACGAATGCATGTGACGCTGATTTCTCAGTAAAAACCATTCTGAACAAAGAGGTTTTTGCGTTTTGAGTCGAGGTCAGACTTAATCCAAAGATGACGTTGTATGGGTTTTTGGGTGGGTACAAGAGGCTTTTCAGCTTCAAGGACTGCCTGATAGATAATATGACGTTCAGATTGCATTACCAGGAACGGTTTTAATATTAATAATAATATTTTTCTTCAAATACAGTGCTTCCAATAAAAATGTTGGATAGGAAGACAACATAATGCTGTTATAAAGCAAATTAATTTAGTAGTATTTAAAAAATTAACTTTTCACCTTCATCATTTCTAGGAAATTAACATTTTAGTTGTCGGTAGTAAAGTTTTATGTGAACCACTGAATTTTAACCAGCTTTCTATTCTATTTAATCCGTTAAATTGTTAGTATACGTTTGCTGTTCTTATTCTTGCTAGCATCCTTAACACTGCTAAACAATACTTTGGGGATCCTATAGACTGTATAGTAGAGGGAGTTCCTTCCAGTAAGTATTTAATATTCTTTTTTTAAATCTTATAAAATAAATGTTGAGTAAAACAATTGTTGCCTGGCAAATATTGTATGTACATTTGTGGCGGAAATTTAATGAGATCTCTAGATGAAATTATTTTATCCATGCTGATGCTGATTGTTAATGATATTCAAAATTTGTAGTTATTGACATTACTCTCAAATCTCAAGTGTGCAAAAGAGTGCGCCATATATTTTGTTTATTTGGTTTGAACAACAAATATCTTTCTTCTTATTCAATTTGTTAATTTAGGTGTGTTCAATTCTTACTGCTGGATTCATGGAACCTTCACTCTACCAGCTCAGCTTACAGGTACAGCAATGTTATAACAGTCGTCGTCTTATATATCAATACATTGAACACAATTTTCTATTATTATTTCAACTCTCTGCCAACAGCAGAGACGTTAACATGTAAACACAGAGAAGTTGCCAATTATAACAGCTTCTCTCTGTTTGTTGTTATGTAAGCATTATCAATAAAAAGTCGTCTTCATTGGATTGATCGCCAACAACTGCAGGAAAAAAATTTACACAAACAGTAATGTTCTAAAACTTTGATATCATCTAACAGTTTTAGGAATTGTTAACAAAGTGATAGTCGTTAGAACAGAGTGATAGAAATAGCGATTTCTAGGCGATTTCAATTTTTTATGATGAATTTTATAATGGGAGGGTTGATAACTGATTGTCTCTGTCGGATTTTCAGAAGGGGGGGGGTCACTACCTATAAGCCCTAATTACAGATAAAATTGTTACTAGAAAACCCTCATTTTTAAACTTGCAACTTCCCCGCTTGAGCTTATTTTGTCGTTTATGGATGGGGGGGGGGGGGGTCAAATTCATGCATTTTTCAACGGCTTTTCAAATATATAAATGATAGGGTTAAGGAATAGTATTTTAAAGGATTTTTTTTTCACTTTTTGCAATGCAGCGTAGGGTAGGGTGCAGCACGGTAAAAAAAGGGCTAGTCGATCGGTGTATCAAATTTAAGATAGCCCATAAACTTTGGTTATTTAAGCTACAGATCTAAAAAATTACATTTTTGAAAAGCCCTTGAAAAATGGATTTAAAATATGTGCCTTTATAAGGTTAATATTGATTTAAAAAATGAACTTTTTTCATTGGGTGCAATTGCACTATAATTGCGAATTAAATATTCGCGGAATTGCGCAAAATTGCGCAGAATGAGCAACATGGGTTGTTCATGAACGAATGAAATGAAAAAAAGTCGAACGGGCCCATCTCTAGCTGGAAGAAAAAAATACTTTGTATACTGCATATGCTAAAAATAAGTTTTATCAATTTTTGTGCGCCTGTTCTAAATCTTAAGATTTTCAAATAAACTAGCAAATTATATCAATTTGTTATGCTTTATGATGAGCTGGGTTCGGAAGTTGCATTGAATATTGGAACAAATAATTATTTATATTGAATACATGTATCTATTAAAAGTTGCCTAATTTGTAAGTTTTAGATTAGGAAAATAAAAAACTCCCAACTAGTTTAAAAACATAATTCTTAATTCAGTAATTTAAATTTTTCTAACTTTAAACACAGCTCAGTTGTTTTGTAGAACAACTTGGTTCCAGGAAATAAAAATCCTCAAAAAGTCGATAATTAATATATTTTCCAAAAAAAAGTCTAATCTCAATTCTTTGCAACTTCAAAAATGAATATAGGTCCCAAACCAAGGGAAAATGGCGGAAAACAATGAGAAAAATGTAGGAAAAATATTTATAATTTTTATTTTTAATATTTTGAAAATATATTCTTAGAGTTTAACTTTAATCTGTAACCGTCCTTCTGAAATTTGGGGGACATGTGGACATTCCCCTTAAGACATTATTAAGATTTAAAATTTTTATATTGAAAACAATAATTGTAGTCCTTAATTTTATCCAATCAACTAAACAAAACAAAAAAATTAGTATATTTTACATTTAAACATGTTTATTTGCTAGAAACTAAGGTATATAAAGGTTGATAAAATGGATGACTTAGTTCATCTCATGAAGATTAATGAACCTCGAAGCCATATTCTGAATCCCTTGGGGGCAGAGGAGTATCTTGTCCTTTAACATCCTTGAAGCAAACTCTATTGTCTCATCACAGCTAGTTACCCAGACCAGAGGTAAAAGACTTTTTGACACTTGGATGAAAATTATATGAAGATTCATGAAAACTAAATTGATTTTTTGATTGCTTATAGAACTTGTCAGAAAATTCAGCCAGGCCAATAGAAACTCAAGAAGTCCAAAAATCATTGCAATATTTTGTGTTAATTTTATTTCATTACAGTTTTGAGTTTCTTGATTGTGTCCCAAGCCACTAACAACTGGTGCTGGATTATTAGGATTGTTGTGTGATACCATGAAGAGTCTAGGCTGAGGTGCAGGTGCAACATTTCTGCTTTGCTTCCATGCTCTGTACTGAAGCACAGTGTTGGAAGTCAATTCTGCCAAGACGCCAATTATCACTAGAATCAGGAGCCAAGGAAATATTTGTACTGTTGACGCCTCTGTCTGAACCTCAAGTCTCTTCTTTAAGTTAGTAAAATACATTTGATTGCAGCAGTGTCCACGAATGATGAGACTTGTGGTAACTTCTACAACAATGGCTGACACAGAAAGTACCAAACATACTCTTGTTCCTTGTTCATGATTGAAGTTGAAAAAATGGTGAGGCAGCAACACAAGAAACAATTTTGTCATTAGCAGACAGATGCCAATCATTACAAGAGGTACGAAGGTAAATCTTGGATTCGATAAACTACAAATTAGGGTTGGATGGTTCAAAACCAGTTCACGTAGGGTCTGGTGTATAACATTCATCAGAAATGACCAGACATACCCACGCATTGTTTGAATACTCAAGCATATTACCATAATTTTCATCAAGCTGTTCATCATTGTTTTATGTACAGCTGGTCTAGTGTCTAAATATCTGTACATGGTGTACATAGCACCAACAGAAATGGGCATGTTAACAGAATCTAGTGTAAATCTAAGAACTCCAGTTCCATAATATACAGATGTCAGGATGATATACACTGCAATACATCCTTTTAATTTTAAATTTGACACCATTGTTTGAACAAGCTATACAGAGATTCCCTGTTTGGATAGTTGCAGAGATTAAACTGACCATTAAAATTGTGTTGATTCTACAAAAATACTGTGGCCAATTATTTGAGAGATGAGAACCAATCCTCCATTATTATTCAAGACATTTATGTATTTAAATAAAAAGATAAAATTACAGCCACATTTAAATTTTGTTTTAGTAAATTTAAATAAACAAATTTTTTGATAGTTAAAAAAATAAAATAATATTTAAAACTTTTGAAATAAAAAAAGAAAAGACGTACATAAACATATTTATAAAGCAAAAACTATGATTTTTTTTCAACCGATGTTGTGCGAAAATATGCTGTTCTTTAGGGTGGGGCTTGCCGCTTGCCCCCCCCCCCCTTAATCATGCTATGCTTTGTTTTTTTATTATTTTTAAAGTGCGCAAATATAAACAAAAAAAATCCGCAAACATGATTTACAAAGAAAATTGCAACCAGCTAGAAGAGCTAATTACAGATAAAATTGTTACTAGAAAACCCTCATTTTTAAACTTGCAACTTCCAAGGCTCAGTGTATTTAAAAAAAATGCTATAGCTAGTGATGGCCAGCTTGGTTAATTTTTAAAAACTTTTAAGATCTTTGTCCTCGGTCTTACAAGGTGTTTATTGTATCACTTCATTTCATTTCATTTCACTGGACTCGTGCAAAGTACAATACAAACTTTATTACAACAAAGTTTTAAAATTCAGAGAGTTTTGTGGTGTCAATTTTAAAAGTCCAAAACAATTAAAAGTTTTACAACAATTCCTAGTAACTGCCGTTACATAATACTGTAGCTATAAAACAATACAAAAAAATCCCATTTTCATTCAACATTGTTTAAATGAAAATTGAACAATTAATGTTGTTAAAAATTTCAAAATGGACACACCTTAATTTCGTTGATAAAGCCCATTCATAGATGCCTTAAAATACACAGTTGGGCATTTAAATTTCTTCCCTGAATCCCCAAAAGGTTAAACATGACAAATATCACGTTCCGTTTTCAATAGAAGACCGTTACAAACCCCCTCCCTCGCGGGGACCCACATTCGGCATATTAAGGTGGGTTGTTACAAAAGATAGGGGGGGGGGGGGGGTGCAGTGTAAACAATTTTACAATTTTAAAATCAACATTCTGTAATAATTAATATCAATACGAATGCATATTATTCCTTCTGAAATTCAGATACTAAAACGCTCAAAATTATTGTAAAAAATCCGCAACTTTTTTTCTAAGTTGATAAAGACAACAAAGATATAATACATATATTAAAAGTTATGTGAAATGATCTCGAGATTATCAGTATTCAGAAGTTTTATACTAAAGGATAAGTAAGTATACTTTCAAGGGACCTTTCATGTAACGATAGCAATGCCCGATTCACAACGGTATACTTTTTATCTGAACAATAATTTTGAACATATTGCGTCGTTTTTCGAGGTTTAACAGAGTTTGTAGTGCTGATAATTTCTATATGTTTTCCTGCAACATTAATTGATACTAGTTTATATACTTTATCAGACAAAGCGTTTAAGGGTACGCTGGTGAATCGGACATTGCCATATGAAGGTTAACTTGAAATAACGCTTACAGTCCATTTTTAGTTGATAATAAAATATTCTAGTTTGAGAAATATGGATTTGCTTTCCTTTTATCCTGTTTTCCCCTTATAGTAATACAGCTGCTATTTCAGGAATGGGGGAGGGGGGGGGGTACCGGCCGG